TGTTACATCCATTGATGTGTGTCCACCTAATTTAAATTTATCTCTAGGACACTTTTGATGTCAGTCATAATGATTTACTGTCTTTACAGAGCTTGTACTGTCTGAAATCTTGCTCTTTGAGTTTTTTATTTGTTTTCTTTTCTATCTTCCCCTCTAAAGTAAGCTTTTTGAGAGCTGGCCTTGTGTGCTGCTGTATTTTCTACAAAGACAAGGAGGTGTAGAATAGGGCTTGATATGTGGTAGGTCCTCAATAGATATTTACTGAATGATAGAGTGAGTGTGTTTTGTTAACAACTGCAAGTAGATTGGTATGAATGGAATATGGAATATGTTTGGATAGCTCAGTGAATAATCTTAAAAAGGTAGAAGTTTTTATGACCTGTGAAGAAGGCCTTTGTGGTCCATGATAATGAGTGTGGTTTTTATCCCACAGTTAAAGAAGGATCATTAAAGACTTGTGAGGACATTTGTCACAGCCATATTTGTGATTTATAAAGATCACTTTGGCATCCTGGTAGAGAAAAGGACTGGAGGAGGGCAAGAATGAAAATAGACTACTTAAGTGTTATTTGTAGAATGAACTCCAGACAGTTGCTGGGGACTGGTTTGGTGTGAACAAATTCAAGAGGTTGGGAGATGGGTTGTATAGGGATTGATGACCAATTAGATGTCAGGGATGAAGGAAAGCAAGGGGTGAAGAATGACCGCCGAATTTTTGGCTGAGTGATTGAGAATTTGATTTTGGTCATTTTAAGTTTAGGAGGTCATTAGGATTCAAGTGCCTTAAATACTGGCATTATGAGTTGACTTTAAAGTACAAGCAGCCTTCTTTAAATAGGAAAACAGTGGCAGTAAAATAATTCACTGTGAACATTTAAGGACTTGGTTTTTATTCTTCCCCAAATAGCTACAGAGGTATAGATATTAGTGGGGCGAACTGTTTTTGGAGTGTTTTGTTTGTTTGTTTTATTTTATTGTCTGTTTCCCTCTCTAAAGCAAACTCATTGAGAGCTGGCCTTGTGTACTGCTGTATTTCTACAAAGACGAAGTATAGAATAGGGCTTAGAGGACTAGCTGTCATGCCAGTAAAAGAATCTTAAGATTAGCATAGAGTTGCTTCATGATACAGAAAATTATAAAGTGTGCGCCATATAACAGAATTCCCTTATTGGATGGTTATTTTCAGTCATCCTTTTAAATGTTAAAAGATTGTTTAAACACAGTTTTACTTTTAGCACATTTGATGCTAAATTCTCCCTGGGTGATAATTAGCAGACACATTTAATTGTGGTAAAATAGCATTACGTCTCAGTTAAGAGCTCAAGACTTTGGAGTCAGCTCAAAGTGTGTCCAAATGCCAGTGTTGCCACTTCCTAGACAGGTGTCCATGGGCAAGGTACTTAGCCTCGTGATCTTAGTTGGTTCATCTCTAAGATGGAGATTAATTATACTTAATTCTCTTTAGGTATGAGGATAATAATTAGATATGTGTTAAGTGTTTAGCATAATGCCTAATATTAAGAGGTATTTGAAAAAAGATAATTCATTAAAATATTATTTAGCAATATTAAAAACGAAGGTGAATAGGTTACACCTTAATTTTTTTTTTTTACCACTTCAGTTTGACATTTGATAAGAGTAAACATGCCCTCTGATCGGACAGTTAAAGGAGGGTCTGTATATATGGACTTCAGCTATTATCTATCAATATTGGCCTATGCACAGTATCTGTTCAGGACTTAAAAGGCAGACAAAAGATCAGTGAAGACTTTAAAACAGAGGATAGCAGTTAATGGTGGAATAGTTTGTAAAAACCTGAGTATTCTTGGTAAGATCCTCCCCCCAGTTTTAATGAGATATAATTGAAATATAACATTGTATTAAAGTGTCAAAGTAATGATTTGATATATGTATCTCTTGTAAGATAGATTGAGGACTTCCCACTTTCTTTTTTGAAGAAAGACTACATTGAATTTTGAAGAGGTCTGGTAAATAAACATCTTTGGCGTTAGTGTCAATAACAAGACAGATTTTCAGCAATGAAAATATTTAAGGATCCATTAATTTAAAAAAAACAACACAATTTGAGAGAAAACTAGCCTTCGTTGGATGAAGGGGGAAACTGTTCTTGGATGAGATATTTTGAAAGATAAATTCTTTCAAAATTGAGTGATAAAGATTATGCAGTTCTAAAGAAAATAACTACAGAATTTGTTTTAGAACTTGACAGATCTTATAGTTCATCTGCAAGAATAATAGGTGAGATTGAAGAAAAATCTGATTAGTGTAAACTTTCAGTAATTAAATCTTGATAACTGGCTCAAGAATTTGTAAAATCAATGGAATAGAATATCTCCCCAAATAGAGCCAATTATATATAAAAGTTGAACGTATTATAATGGAAGTTTCATAGATAGTTTGAGAGAGGGAGGATTATTTAACAAATGGTACTAGAATATCTGCTTTTTTAAAATTTAAAATCAGCTTAGTTTTTTGTGTTGTATATCTAAACAAATTTTAAATGGATTAAAAGCACTCTAAAACCTTAGGAAAACAAAAAGATGTTAAATGTTTATCAGAACTTGATACGAAGTCTGACTTTCAAAACGTGTTTGTGTTAGTTATAGCTGTAATTTTAAGTTTATTTTATGTAAATAACATAAAGCTACATATCAGAAACATTATTACCCACAGCCATAAATATAAACTCTTAACCTAAATAAATATGCTAGCAGTTTGTTACTTGCTAGAAAGTATAACCAAGGGATGCTATCTTTATTATACAAGGAGTACATACAAATTCTTGGTAAAAATGTAAGAGCCAATTTAAATAAATCAGCCAGTGACATTATGGCACAGTGCTCAGGAGGAAACAGCAAAAAATTAATGTGGAAAAACGTATTACTAACTAGTAAAAAACAAAACATTAAAAAAAAGTGATGGGGGTGACTGGTTAGCTCAGTTGGTTAGAGTGTGGTGCTGATAATACCAAGGTTGACAGTTTGATCCCCACGTGGGCCACTGTGAGCTGCACCCTCCTAAAAAGAGTCAACTATGCCATTGTAGCATGAAAGCAATGTGTAACCAATGACCATGGCTGTTCCCCAATAAAAAATAAAAAATAAAGTCATTTTCACTCGTTAGACATTTAAGAAAATTTTAAAATAAGTAATAATATTTTAGTGAATTAGTACATCTGTATCTAGTGATAATTTAAACTGTTAACAGCTTTTCCTCCTCCAGCTGTATTGTGGTATACTGTATTTCCCCATGTATAAGATGCACCCTTTGAAAAATTGGGGGTCTAAAAACTGGGTGCGTCTTATTACAATGGTTGTAGATTTTTTTACT